AAAAGGGAAACTTTGGGATGATTTTGAGTCTAAATTTGGTCCCCTTTTTTGAGAGAGACCGACAGGTTTTTTTTCACTCATTTCAAATAATTCAGCATTTGCCCTAATCATATTTGAGCAGGTCATATGTCTTGATGTTGTTGATCAAATACTCTTTTGGGTGATACTTTATTCATTATTATCTTTTGTTTTCAATCGCGAACAAAATTTTTGTAGTGAATGTTGTGTCAATTGCAGTTAGCGAGTCGTCGAACGCAACAAATAATTACATTGACTATATGAGTGGATACGGTTTAACGTCACCTTATCCAATGCTTGAAGATTATATTGTCACCATTAATCGGTCATTCATTGTCATGTTCTCATCCCATTTTATCACGGTTAACGAAACAGTTCCGCTATCATTTCAATTACTAGTTATTTTGTATAATTCACTCTTTTCATATCTGCGTGTTTTCAATATTCGGTTTTTTAGTGTTTTTTTCAATTATTCAGAATGATGCATTATTCGTTTAATATAAAATCACTCCTTGTTTTTTAAAGCATTCTCAGTTTTAAGACGTTGGAGAGATGGTGTCTCGATTCGGATGTGGAAACTATCAAAACATATCAATGATGGATCACTAAGAATAAACTATTATGTGAGTGTGATTGTTTTAATTTTTCTTTTCATGCAGAAGTATTTATTATTGATGAATTAAGTATAAAAACGCGACAGCAATTTCAAAGCGTAATCACACGTTATTGTTCAGTTATCCGGCTGTCGTTATTGTTACAATGTTGGTCGTGAACATCGACGTAATCACGTTTATTGGACAGTTGACTTGGTGCGAATGCACTGCTTTCAAAAGTGTTTTGATATTGACTGTCGCGGTACGCAGTCCAACTACTTTCCATTACCGCCTCTCATACGTCAGTCTATTTCTCCATCAACACAAGGTTATCCTCACATCTTTGCCATCGTTCGTTCACCTCGCTTGTTAAATTAAATATTCTATCAAAATTTATGAGACTGCTGTTAGGGAATTCTCGATCGCTTTCACTCACGAGATTGGAAAATAAACTTCAAAAAAAAAATTCAGGAGAGACATCGTCAGCCTCGAATGTTGATGACACATTCCCAACTGTGACAATAAGTTGTCGCGTGAAAAGTCCCGGTTCAATCGTTGAAAGAACGGATGAATCTTGTCCCAAAACTGTGCAGGAAATAGCCGAGAATGAACATGATGCAGGCATTGCGATCGAGAAGAATGCACCAGAAACGGATTTATTTGATTCGTTTTATGATGAACGTTTTGATGACGAATTTCTTGGGTCGTAGTAATTGTAATACTGCTGCTGAAGATAGTTTCGAAAATGTGTATCTTAAGGAAATGTGCATGAATGCTTCTAAGTTCGACTGCTTCATACATGCAAAGACAAAGGAAGAGTTCTTTTTGTGAAGCATATTTTGTCGAGTGACATATCCGATGTATGTATATATTCATTTAAGTTTCGTTTGAACTTAGCAAATGCGGACAGAGGATGGTAGTTTTCATCTGTCGATGAATGGAGGAGATTGGGAATGTATGAAAAGCTTCTGCGAAGAAACATAGAAGGAGGTCGTTGTGTGCAGCGCACTGCGCTCCGATGTCATTTCACCTGAAACGATACTATGTTCGTCTCTGAAAATGACTGCTTTGAATTGACCATAAGTTGTCCACCGATTGTAAATTAACCATATTGTCTTGTTTTATGCTTTTGCGTTCATATTGTTAACGTTCTGTACATAGCGTTTCCAGTTATGTGTTCTCTATTCATGCTCAGTGTGATCACGTAATGTTTCCACTTATTTTTATTTCACTCTTTCATTCGCATCGTATGTGTAGTATGCAGTATGTTGATTTTCGTTGTTCGGTTCTAAGAACTGATTCTAACTGACTACGTATTTTGCTTATTATTTTTTCTCACTATTTTAACTGTCTTCGAACTTATATTAGGCTGATGTTGAGTAGAACATCCGAATTCTTTTCATTTCAAGTATTCATATCAGTGCCTCTTGATATTATGATCCGTTCGTTTGAACCGATTTTGTTAGAAATATCGTTTAGTATAGAATAAATATCGAAGAAATTTGCTGGACTGAATTGAAGTGAACGTTTATTGAAACATTCGGCTTGGTGAATGTGAATTAGTGATGATATAAGACATTTATTATATTGAATGAAACAGTTCCATAATTATCATGTTGCTTGTCGAACACACATTAGACGTCAAGAGTTTTGTACTATTATCGAGTGTCGCAATCAAATCAACTTCCCGATGGCATCCACATTCTTGTGTCGTTTATTTTTCGTCTCACTATCATTTTCCCTCTCTGTCGGATAAATGAGAAACATCGATAACAGTGAACCATCCATTATGAAAAAAGTCGAATTGGCTAACTGAAACACATAAATGTTGATCCTTTCGGAAGGGGATTACTTTCATGAGTATTCAAGTGTTCAGTGATTTTCTCGAACTTGAGATCAAAGAGTTTGAGTCGGAAAATAGATTAACTGAAAATTGATAGGTGAAGTGAAACTGAAAATTAAAGTAAGCTCATTTACTGAAAATAATTACCGCAATACATTATCATCCCACAAAAGATATCATAATTTCACTTGTTATTGTTAATTGAGGTATCTCTATCGATATTAAATGGTGTGAAATGGGAGACGGAATTAATGGTTTGAATTTGAAGTGTTACAGTTGAGTGTAATGTTAGTTACTTGCTTTTGAAACAACCGATTTGCTATCTTCGAGATATCATAGAAGTGCGCAACGTTTGAGGTTGGAGTCGGGTAAAATGAGGCCATTCTAATCAAGCAAAAATGTATTTTTGTTTTTTCTTATCGTGACATTTCGATAGCCGAATTCTGTTCGAGTGCAAATAAATGACAGACAAAGTTGTTTTCAAGGCTAAGTGATCAGTGTAACACTAGGTGTGCTCGCATCACGGTCAAAAGCTTTCATAATAAAATAACACAGCCAACCGTCATGTAGTAATCGTTAATTCCAATACTATAAATAATGGCGTGTAGTTCCATCACCCATGTAAATAAAACACTTGCAAATGGTATGAAATCGATGACCTTCGATTTGAAAGCTCGATACTGAAAATTCCACGTTTGAATTTCTTATTTCATTTTATGAAAATGTGAACGTCTCTCATGTCCTTTCACACATTGAGATTTTTCCACTACTGAACAAGTTTATGAAGCAAAAACTAATCTGCACATAACACCAATAAATGCAATTTAAGACAATGCTTTGAGAGTAATCAAAATCATCAGTTTTGGAATGTGGAATGTAGAAGTGAAATGGCAAAATCATTTGAAAGGACATCAACGAATCACTGACTATGAGATAAGGACAAACGAGTGATCCAGCGATCTGTGATCCTGACGCGAAACGTCCAATCACCATTTTACCGTCTTCATGCGTAAGCTCGTTAACATAAGTGAAGAGTACCGATAGGAAGACTGTTATTGACAGCAGTGCGTGCGATAAACGCCTCTGCAAATACTTCTTTTCGAGTTTGTTCATTTCATTGTTTTGCTTGCTGACACTTGTGTGTCGGAATATGATCAGCGATTAGGGCTGTTGGATGGAAATTGTAACTGATTTGTTCCGATTGCATCATTCTCTACTTTATTCAAGCTCCAGGTTTCACTAGTAGCAAGATCTAATCATTGGAGTGACTTTTGGATTTACTCAGTTAGAGGGCCAAATTATTTACTCAAAATCTTATTTGAGATTCGCAAACTTCCAAGATACATATTGCATTCGATCACACACATATGGATGGAACAGTACACATGTGGATATTCATTATCTCCATTGATGGAATTCGGGCGAAATGTCGGTCGATAGGGATCCGACCGAGTTGGCATTTCGTCATTCCGACCGACTTTCCAAATTGTTCGGTCGGAGTCGTAAGTGTTCCGACCGAAATTGTTGGATTTCTTCGACCGACTGTCGGTCGAATCCCATCACTAATTTATCTCGAAGATCAAGGATAATGGAAGAATTTTGCGGCAACTTCTGAATGCAAAAATTGAGATTGTTCCAATGCCACTATTCGAGTACGTAAATGCGCGAGGTGGCTTGCTTATGCAATAACGTGGCTTTCGAGTACTTTTTTTGAGCGATAAAAGAGAAGTGTCACTGTGAAGAAAAGTTGCATTATGACGGCGTATGTCTGAAGTAGTATCAACTTCAAATCCTCAATGTACATCGAATATCGCAGCCATAAAGTAGACCTGCAACAAACTTTCAGCGATACACTAAAATCATGCAGCGAGTCAATGAAATAAAGTAATCGAGGGAATTCAGAGAGCGAGTAATTATTTGTTGGATGGCGGAAGATATTGAAATGAGTAAAAGCTGAGCTAATTAATGAAATGTGTAAATACTTACCCAACTAACGCACACACATACGGAATTGGCGTATCACTATCACTGCATCGTCGTCGATACCACTTACAGACGGCTTGACTGTAAACGAATTCATGCAGTTGCGCAGAACAGAAAACGAATCTGATGAGTTTCGCACATTTTTATTCTAGCATAAACTTTGACAAGTTCACAAAATTTTCTGTGTTTTGCAATCATCGATTTTATAGATAACAAATGCACAGATTTATCAAGCATTTGTCAATGACTCATAGCAAATGTGAGTTTCTAAAGTTTGGCATTGCAGTCGAATCAAGCGAATGGATCTGTTCAAAAAAAAAACCACTGACATTGGGCTTGCGATCAGCAAAATAGCGTGTATAGCGGTTGATGTAAGGAATATACTCCAAACCACATTCGTTGTGTATAAGGTATAGAAATCACCAATCAAATCATATAAACGATTGTTGATCATCTTTCATAGCGGATTTGACCTGAACAGATTTTCTCAAAATAAAATGAAAAACGGCAGATTTTCATAGACCAATACTGGTCAATGCAACATAAAAACCCTGCTGCATATGTTTCATTCATTCGCGTAGAATGTTTCAAGATGCGAAAATATTACTCGAACGACTCAATGAACAAATTCACGAATACAAGCTTTATTTGGCACTCGATTGGCAGTTTGAAGTTGACATGTTCAAGCCCATCTCGGAACTCCAACGTCTCCCACAGCGTTATCCATAAGCGGCTGGCTATGCGTCACAGACTATTGGGTGTATGGGCCACAGATGAGAAGAATAAATTCAGAGTGAGTGCCGAACGCTTATGAATATTGAAAATGACCCAATTAAAATGATAAAATCTTGTCAGATGAAACGTGCGATTGATACACAGCAAATACTTCCTATAATTATTTCTGTGAACGCATTCCAATGAAGTAGCACTGAAACAACTCTGAATCAGATATTCAATGCCACCGTTATTCATCATAAAACGCAAAACCAGTATCTATCTATCTCAGTCTTATCTTTCACGCGAATCTAGCAATCAATCCTTTGATTGTCAGCGGCATATGTTGCTTGTCCGGTTGCGCCCTACGACTACATCTCCAATACTGTTCCTTTCAGAATAATCACCATCTTATCGTCTTTTCACCTTATCCTACCACTGTTTAATCATTTTCTCTAAACACTATGCATAAGCAACAGCTTGCGCTTGCTCATATGAATAATAACTTGAGAATGTGCTCATGAAAAAGTGATATTTAGAGAGCAATTCTTCAACGTGCGATAGAATGATCTTATCAGTTCGCATTACGACAATGTATTCAGCATGTGTGAAGTCAAATCCGCTTGAAACAACCATTAACGACTTTAAATAACCATTAACAAAGATACATACGTGTGTTGAGATTCGTGAAGGTTTTGTTTCGGTAACGCAAAACCGCCGAATGAACTTTGCTCCGTATTTGGTGTTTGGCTAAACCTCCGTTCAAAGAATTCATCTGTAACAATATCGAACAATTTTGATCGTTATATGATCGCTAATTCAGGTGGATATCCATGAT